ATTAGTCTCGATTTCGACTGATGTTTTTCTTTAATTTATTAGTTTGCACTTGTTATGCGAATTTCTTTCACGGCTTCCATTTAAAAAAAAAGTCTTAGAACATATGTAAAAAGTATCATTGATGTTCTTCTAATATGCCGTAATTTATACAGCAAAAGAATTTAAACGAGTCAACGAAATCGAGACGACAGCGTAGGTTGTTAATAGTGATATTACAATTAGGTAAAAAGTAAAAAATGTTATTAATTTTAAAGAAATGTAGATAAGTTTTAGAAATTTTCATCACGTTGTAACGAAGTCAAAAATGGGGAGAAAGCTCTTGTCAGAATGTTTTCAATTTGTTTGTCAAACGATATGGGATTGTGGTTTTGATAAAGTTTTAAACAGTATTATTATATTTACTAGATAATTTTGGTTACATTGTTTTTCTTGAAATTTGTGTAGTTTTCGCTATGTATCTCGATCGGAAATATCAAAAAGATCCGTACAAACATCATTTTTTAAATGTGATATTTTAATCTGCATTCAAAATAAGAATTTATAAGAGGTAATTTTGAATGCAGTTGGCATTTTTTATTATTTTATTTTATTTAGTTATAACGCACAGAAATTTGTATGTGTAATATAAATAAATATAATATATTTTCCGATCGGACAGTTGTTGTGCTATTCAAAGCTTCTAATAATTGTTGATGATCAAAAATTGTGATAGTTTTAATGAATTCACTAGTTTTTCCATACATATCGTGAAATAATTTGGTATATTTATTAGTGTTTATAATTTTGGCGTACATAAAGAGCATCGGCGTACCCAAGCGTCGGCTGTCGACGGTATTATGAAAAATTACAATAAAAATAATAAAATAGTGAGTGAATATTTGCTTTTTATTTAATTTCCAACTTTCTTAACTATAGTTAATATTATCTATTCAAAAATTAGTTAGCCAACAATAATAATAATATTTTCGGACACACAACGCCATCTAGTTTCAAACTAAGCAGAGCTTCTACTATGTAAGCTAGATTAGCTGATAGAATACTTATATACTTTTTTTAAATACCTACATATTATTCATAGAAAACACACAAACAAATATTTGCAGATCATACAAAGAATTGGTCCAGCCGGAGAATCGAACCTGAGACCGATGCAGAAAAGGTGTCACAACGTAATCAATTAAAAATCTATCTTTTATCCAATTAAAAAATACAGAAGGTTTTTAACTTACTAGATTTTTGATCATTACGCATGGACGCCAATTATACAATACAATACAATTAAACAATATATCTGACGGGCCTGTTGGTTAGTGATCCAGAGGGTTCGATTCCCACCCAGGACAAATACTTGTGTGATGAGCACGAATATTTGTTCTGTATCTGGGTATTATATATCTTTAACATGTATGTATTTAGAAATACCTAAGTATGTTTATCAGAAGTCTGGTTACCGTAGTACAGGCTCTGCCAAGTTTGGGATCAGACGGCCGTGTGTGAGATGTGTGAGATATTATTATTATCTTATTTCTATGAATATATATAAATTACATTTTTAAAACAATCTCATTTTTAGGGTTCCGTACCTCAAAAAGTAAAAATGGAACCCTTTTAAGATCACTTTCTTGTCCCTCTGTCCGTGTGTCACCACCGATTTTCTCAGAAACGGGTTGACCTATCAAGTTGAAATTTATACCAGATACTGAGGTCTATGGTCCCTATTAGGTGTATAAAAATCAAGGTCCTGAGTCATGTCATTTTCGCTATGTAAGTACCAAAATGTACCTTAATTTTCAACTTTTATTTTTCAGAAAATTCTCTTTACTTGTGCTGTAAGACCTTGCTTTTAACCAAAATTGACAATTCTAGGTCAACCGGAAGTACCTTATAGATTTTGGGTCGAAAAAAAAATCGGTGGTGACACACGGACAGACGGACAAGAAAGTGATCTTATACGGGTTCCTTTTTTAATTTTGGAAGTACGGAACCCTAAAAAAACCCTAAATTTTCGCGAAAATCTACGTAAATCTGGGTACCTACGGAACCCTCGGCGCACGTACCTGACCGGTGTTTTTTTTCACTCAATTTATATACATTTATGATTCATACAAAAAAAATGACTTAAAAATATAAGAAATAGTTTATAAGAAACAGTAGTTGACTTAAAAATATAACAAATAGTTGAAGTGTTCCATCGATATGGGGTACATTGGCCAAGATACTGATACGTACGTGCCGTATCGAGAGGTACTGCTTTCTGCATCAGATCCTAAATACAGCTACCAAACGCGAGTCTCTGAAGATGTTGGTCGAGCCTCTTAGTAATTAATCCATGGGCTGCAATGCTGTTATTAATATTACATCGTCCCTACTTTGTAGTTGTGTAGTAAGATTAAAAAATGAGATGATTACAACTGTTTTATACTTTAGTGACACTTTTTCATATAATTTATCTTACCGAAGACGTTCAATCAATGCTGCCGTCTGACGCCTATACCTGCTAGGGCGACTGTTAACCCTGTCCATCACCCAAAAGGCAAGCTCTCATAATCATTTCATCATCATCATTTTAACTTTCCGACGTTTTTTGCATCTTCTGAGGGACAAGAAATAAGTAGCTAAGCTAAGAACGCCATCACGTACGATTGAAGCAAGGCATTCTAAATCATGGCTATGGCGATAGACAAATGCAAGTTTGCTACCTGTACTGGTGGTACATAGACGGAAACCTCCCATATTACTCACCTTCATATAGATAAAGGTATGTTTAGGAGCAGACGCCGCATTCAATCTAAGTCTGCATCGATTTTACTAGATAATTACCGTCTAAAGGAGTAAGCCTCTGTGATAGTTTGATATCAGTAAGTGAAAACTATGTTTATTACAGTATCGCCGTAAAAGTCATCTGTTAAAAAACCAGATCTACTCTGAACTGAAACTGAAAACACTCACTTGCTTCAATGCAAGTAATAATAATAATATTACCGGACATCGGACACACAACGCCATCTAGCTTTAAACTAAGATATCAGATGTCCGAAAAAAACCAGCAGAGCGTGTACTATGAAAGCTAGATTGACTAACAGAATACTTATAAATCCGTCTAAAGAAGTAAGCCTTTGTATTTGTTTGACATCAGTAAGTGAAAACTATGTTTTTTTACAGTATCGTCATAAAAGTCATCTATTAAAAACCAGATCTACACTGAACTGGGTCCGTCACTTGCATTATTGCAAGTAATAATAATAATCTGACACACAACGCCATCTAGCTTTAAACTAAGATGTCAGATGTCCGAAAAAAAAACAGCACAGCTAAGCTAGATTGACTAATAGAATACTTAGAGTTAGGAATATTATTAAATTACTCCGACCAGGTTAGTTTGAAACTTAATTTCATGGATGCCGTAGTGATTTAAGCGGTCACCTTGCCTCTTCTTCCTATCGCGATGAGTGTTGTGTGTTCCATCCTCATATGGATGTAAGTCCGGGTGTTCTTTGTGTCCGTTTCATGGATATGTTTTGTAAAGCTTCCGCGACACAGGATTTATTCCTTGTGCGTGAGTTGTCTTTTGACAACTCTTGAAAAAAATAAAATATGTAGTCTAATATAGTTATGGATGAGAAAACCGGAGTGGGCAATGGAGCTAGGTTGACGAATTACAGCCTCTCGGAAAGGCCGGGCCTGTACCCGTATGTCAGTCTTGCGGTTAGAGAAGCCACTAAGTCGGGGACAATAACTGACCCATGTATAATGTTCATAGGCGTACATTTAATTATTTTTTTATGGTATAGGGGCTAAAGGAGACTATACTCATGCACCTCAAGAAACACAAGTCCTTTGCCATCTTTGGATTCCCCATCTCCACCTTGAATGGGGGGGGGGATTGGGCTTCAAGAACCTCACTCACTTACTTGGTGAAAAGCAGGAAAGATTAACTTAACACTGGTTTTCTGTGGCTATGGTACCACTATCATCTTGCTAAGGCATGACTCTCCCACGGCTAGTACACATAATACGGTAGTTTCAGTAATCAACACTTTTTCTTTATTTATTTGATAACAAGATTACAGAAGATACGTACCTATAAGTCTTATTATTAAAACTTTTATTTCGGTCTAGTGCACCTAATCACTCATTTCTACACCACCCCAAGGTAGACTGGCAGATAATGCCTATGGCATTAAATATTTTTTACATTTTTTTGTGCTTAAGCATTAAATTAAATAAGGAAAAAACTCAAGAATAGAAACACTTTATTTTATATACAGGAATTATTAATGTGAATAGAATACAATCCAAGAATTCAAAAAATTTACATTTCTAAGAAAAAAGATTAACTTGAGAGAAATTCTATAAAATAATATTCTGAGACATCGTTACACAACGCACTCTGGACCCAAACCAAGCATAGCTTGGCTATAGGTTTTAAATTTGTACATACTACATAGAAACACCTTGAACAATGAAAAAATACATGCAATCGCCCGTCAGCTAACTTTAAGTTTTTAAAACGCCCCAATTATTAGTCATAGGATTATAATTACAAAATAGGTAAAAAAAATAACATTCTAAAAACTCAATAATTTGAAATAAAATTAAAACTTTTTAACAGATTATTTCAAAAATAAATAAATTATGTATCTATCACAGTTTACTAAACACACTTTATTAATACACTTCAAAACCATTAACCTTATCAGACTTAAAATAAAAAAAAAGTAATTGATAAGACATCTACATATAACCCATATTTATACGCATACATACGGCACATGTACCTACACACACACACATATACACTCTCACGCATAATTAATCAATACTTTAATAAAAAAAAATACATAATACATCGAGCCGAGAAAATATATCCTCGCTTTCCCGTCGTGCCCTGTTTTAATAAACTCGAAAATATTATCTCATTTCTTATCATCTTTCCATCTTCAATATAATCAATCGCATAAAGCGCTTTAAACAGATCCAGTGTTAGTATGCGGGTAGTTTTAAATAAGTGCAGTGCGCAAGCGCGATCGGCAGAATATCAGAAACGCCAGTAACGCCGCGAGTGCTGCTCCGGCAAGTAGTGTTGTATCATCGCGTCGTACTCCACCTGCGCGTTCCACAACAGTGCTCTGGAAAATAAGGTTGTGCGATTTTTGTTAGTTATGTACACTCAAAGACCTGGCACTGCGTTTGATTGAAGCTTCGCATATATTAAGAATTATCCGTGTGGTGGTTTGTCCATGGGCGGCGGTAGTCGATATTATTATTATTATCAGGTGATCCATTTGCTTGTTTGCCTCCCTATGCCATAAAAAGAAACCTAAGTTTTGTTTGTTATGCAATGTTTAAAGTAAAAGCCATTCCGGTGGTAACGGATAAGGAACATTCCGTGTGGTGACGGATTAAGAATACGGAGTGTCACCACACCTGTTCATACCGTGGGTGTCGTAAGAGCCGACTAAGGGAGCAAACTACGCAGGACACACCGCAAAGAGAAGGAAGACACAAACCCTCTACTGTACCAAACCGTCTGGCCAGCGTGGTATAGTAGGCCAAAACCTCCTTTCTAAGGACAGACCTATTTCCAGTAGTGGACTATTAAAAGCTGTTGATGGGATGTGATGATATTAAAAATGTTGGGTCAGTGCTGTTTGCCTCGATCCTGATAGCGATTGACAAGCATTTTACGATGCCTACACTTCACTTCTAGTTTGGGATAAAACTACCGTGTGTGAGATGTGTGAAGTTATTATAAATTATTATTTATAAACAATATTCATTCATCTATTTATCTACCTCATTTATGTTTTCTATTTTTCTTAATTTAGTATGATAATCCAGTTAAAATATGAATGAAAAAGTCATTATAAGACTAATGCTACTTACTTCTTCTAAGTACTTATTTTCAAATATGTGTTAAATTTTTGATGATCAAACATTTAATTGTTGTCAGTAATATGAAACAATGCAACTTACCCAGCCTCCATGCCGGATGGCCCAGGGCGTAGCGCACTGTGCTACATGCTTGGCTGCCCAATCCACAGCTCTGCACCAGCCTCCAAATCGAACGGCCCGCGCGCAAACCTCGCATAGAAATGCAAGTACCACAAGAGCTCTTTGCTCGGTGTGAACACAAGCCTGGAAATATAATTAAAACTACGACTTAATTACGACAAAAAAAATCTTAATAACAACTTAATTTTCCTCATGATTGAGTTTTACGATAAGTGTCAGAGTGGGTGTGAATATGAACTGGTGGACAATAAAATTAGGCCACCTACCCAACATGTAGTGGTGACTGTGTTTCAAAATAAAAACTATTCTAAATTTTTTTATTGATTGTGTGTTATTTATATTGACTTTATTTCTTCTGGTAATAAACAAGAAATTTAAAACTGAATAAAAATTTACAACAAGTTTACACTGAGTTAGAATGGTTTCTCTGGTGTCATCTTTCTTTACTAAGAGGTATAGCCTCCTCGGGCTCTGATAACACATACCACCCTTTTGTTCAACTTGTATTAACTTTTTAATGGTAGATTGAGGTGTGTCCTCCAACAAAGCCGGTTTCAGCTGTTGCATGTTCTCCATGGCTGGTTCTCGCTGTCTTACTCTCCGTTTTAGCTCGTCCCGTAGATGCTCTATTGCGTTAAGGTCTGGACTTGGTGCACTCCAGAACTTGTATTTCCACTTCTCGCAAGTAATCTCAAGCACATCGCAGAGATGGGGCCTTATTATCGTGCATTAATTTAAATTCTTGACCCACAAATCCTGAATATGGTACTACATGCTTTTCAAGAATGTTAGTAATGTACGATTCAGCAGTCACAGTTAATTTTTCTGCGATAACAAGCTCAGTATAGGCTTCTGAGCTTATAACCTCCACAGAACCAATCGGAACCACCTCCAAATCTTACCCTTTCAGATATTGCACATTGTGCATATCGGTCTATTGGGACTAATCCCACCCACGCCCACCACTGTAACTCCTGTACACCAGGATCCACAGCAGTGACCCACCAACACACCGAGTTATGACACTCGGGAAGTCCCAGAAAGAAATTAAACTGTCTTGGAACCCGCAACGAATTTAATCAGAAGAAAATTGGAGGAGTTGGAAATAGAGTAAATCCACTTCCCTCCTTAGCAAAGCGGGAGACAAAATGAAGTAAAATAGGCATACACCCTTTTAAACAGGGAAGCACCACGGCCACAAAATATTACGGGTCCTACATGAGCTATATTTGATTTCTATAATATGTATGGCAGAATCGCCTAAACGCACAGAAATTCACCCTAGTTGACACAAGATCCCCATAGTATACCGCCCCAGATGTCACCTGCAAGCTATTCAGCATTATATTACGTTCATTATACCAAAGACTACATTCCCAGAGGATATGATGAGCAGATTGTTCATAATGAGAGTTAGGTGTTGAGCATTGACACAATGGTGACTCGACTAATTTAAATGAATACAACTTGCTCTTAAAGTTACCATGACCCGTAAGAAATTGAGCGACACAGTGATCCACCTCAAGCCATGTCCTCGACAACCGTTCGCGAACTGATGGAAAAAATTGGTAGAGATGGCGCCCCTTGGATGATTCGTCCCAGCGTTGCTGCCATTCGTCTTTGAGGTCATTATAGACATCGGACTGCTGTTGAAGCAATCTTGTAATTTTACCGCGATCCCGCGCGCCCAAGAAATCGCATTCCATGTTTTGTCTTGAATAGTACAAGGCTGCACGTCTCTGCACCTCGAGATCGACCGGAAGCACACCCGCCAACACCGGCAAAGCCTCAGTGCTAACCGTCCTATATGCCTTGCACAAAAATATCAGTGCAAGTCGTCGGCCTTGTAACAGGTTGCGACGGACAGCGCCTACGGTCGCCCTATCGGCCCTTACAGGTGCACCATAGCACATAGAACCTAAATAAGTAGCTCCGTATATGATCTTTAATGTATTAAATGATAGACCCCATGTCGCAGTTGATATCCTTGTCAATGCACAGAAACTCTTTTTAGACTTTTCATTAACTATTTTAATATGTTCGATAAATGAAAAGTTTCTTTCTAAAACTAATCCTAGACACTGTGGTTTTATTTTTTACAGTAACATTGTCAAATCTAATGCTCGGCGGTGATTTGAGGTTACCTTTTAAAAGTAGCTGGAAGGTTTTGTTGGGTGCAAAAGTTAAGCGATTACGTTCACCCCATTGAGATATCAAGTTCAAACATCTATTGGCTAATCTCTCAAGCCCCGCCCTAGTATCAGCTAGTATCAGATTCCACCAGTAATAAGCCGTCATCAGCATACGCGTTCAGAGTACATCCGGATGGTATTGGTATCGCAAGAAAATCGTCGAAGCCGATATTCCACAAGTATGGACCTACCACCGATCCCTGAGGACATCCCATTGTAAGCGCCTTCGACACAGAATGATGACCAAGTCTTAGTTTAGTTGTACCTTGTGAAAAGTACGAAGAGATAAGGGAATAAATATTTTTAAAGCACCCCCGTGATTTTAATTTCAGCAACAGCATGGGCCACCATGTGTTGTCGAAGGCGCCAGATATATCTAAGAAAATAGCCAGTACGTATTGAAATTTTGACTCTGTGACAAACTTTCTAACCGATATAACAGCGTCAGTTGTCGATTTACCCAACGTAAATCCAAATTGTCTATCATGAAATTTGACTCCACCTGGCAGAAGCCGGGGCACTACAAGACGTTCTAAAAGCTTTCCTAACGATGGTAACAATGTGATTGGTCGGTAGGATTTAGGATCATCCGGTGGCTTGTCGCCACTTTTTGATATTATACGAATATTACCGCACCGCCATATACGAGGAAATATTCCTTCAGCAATGCAACGTTTAAAGACAGTGAAAATCGTGTCACCCGAAAGTTTACAAGCTTCTTTTATCATTTTGTTAGATATTTTATCATCGCCCGAAGCCTTGTTTAGCGGCAAGGATCTAATGATACCGAGAAATTCGTCTGAAGATGGTAAATCAGACATTGGAGACAGTGGTGGTTCGATGGCCCACTGCCTGATCTGTCGGTGATGATCAGTGTCGTTTTCCGGTCGATCGTCAGGTACGAGTGAGTCTAAAAGATATTCTGCTGTTTGTTCTACTCCTGTGGTATATCTGTTATTAATTTTGATGTTCTGTATGTATGCAAGGTCGATTGATCTATTTACCTTAAATTCGTGATACAAAGGTGACCACGGGCCCCTATCTATCGAGTTTATCAACAAGTTTCTGGATTAAGTTTCCCTTGGATTTTTCCACAGCAGCTCTGTAATGGGACCTGGCAACTCTAAGGGCAATGAGAGCATTGTTGTACAAATCTCCTGTTACGTTATGTTTTTTAATTGTGTTTAATTTTCTACGAGCTTTCCGGTAGCTTCTACGTAGTTCGGCTAATCTATCATTCCACCAATCACATCTACGAGTGTTAGTGATAGATCCGCGACCAATAGTTACATCAGCGCAGTATGTAAAAGTTTCTGATAGTATTTCTGCGCTTTCCTCAGCTGATAAACTACTGCGACTGAAGTCTTTGATATGAGTTGCAAAGAGTGAACCAAACAAAGCCCAGTTCGCACCTTTAGTTTTATATCTAAAATTATAGGGAGCCCTTTGTGGATCCTGTGCAACCCTTGGTATGAATTCGTACACGATCAAGCGGTGATCACTACAGGATGCGTCCGGAAGCAGACGCCATCCGGATATCGAGACGTCGCCGCGCGTAAGCGTCACGTCAATAGAAGACTCACCCATTGGGTTGCAAAAAGTTGGTGGTGCATCGGGGGTATTGTGAATAATAAGATTCATTTCCGCAATGAAATCTTCAACCGCACAACGTCGAACCGTGTCGGTTGAACGCAACTTGCCATACCATAATGAAGATGACGCATTGACATCAGCGCCAATGATAATTTTATGTCCCACGAGGCGTATGCAAGACGTAACGTAAGTGATGTAAGTGAGGGTCAATAGGATGTGAATATTGAAAATAGCAGCTCACTACGTAAACCTTACAGGTAGAGGATGATATCTCAGCAACGGCGCAGTGTGACGTCATAAGATTACGCAAAGATGTTACCGTAAAATTAGAACTTGCAACATATATCCCAGCCTGCGAACGGCAGTCAAGCTTTACTACATTACGACGCAAGTGAGCGCTCTGATATTGTTCTTGTAAAAGGACAATGTCTAACTTTTGTTCTAAAATTAAACGGTCTAATTCTGATGTAGCTATTTTATCGTTATGAAGATTTAACTGGCCTATCGAAATATTATTCATTACTTAGTAAGTTACTCTTTAAACTTTTTTTTTTTTTTTAAACTAAGTTAAACTATTCAGTAATTGGTATTTAATATTAGCTGTGCCAGTTTTAATTTGTATGTGGCACAGTCGTATGAGCCGCATCGATGGTCAGATGGTTTTTTGAACCGCTTACACTGTTCGCACGTAGGCTTAAAATCTGGTGTGTCTTTATCTGCATATCGGTCTCCCTGTCTACGTACGATATACTCTTTTGCGACCGCTTCAGCACCAAATAGACGTATACGGGACTCATCAGAAAAAAGTACTTGCTCCCATTGTGCCAATGTCAGGTCACGGTGTTTACGAGCAAAATTTAACCTAGGTACCTTATGAGCTGTGGTAAGTTAAGGACCTATTGCGGAACCTATGGTTTTAAAATCGACATTTTTTTATAAATTACTTATATTATGCTGTATTTACAAACACTCACTGTTACAATAAGAAATCACTATGTAACTCGTTAGTCGCATTAGAAATTCGCTTCGATGGTTATTCGCTGTGTCGTAAAACGATTCTGTCCCGTACAGAGCTGGTCTTCACACCGTCCCGTAGGGGACGTGCGGTGGCTGGATAGGGGCTTTAGCAGGGGGCTAACCAGCGGTGTCTATCGCTATCCCTAAATAGAGGTAGATCCTGGCCTGTCCTTTCTGTTGGTTTCGGTGTTGTTTTTGAGGGGATCGCTTTGCTCTTCACGCCGCCTCGGCGATCGAACCCGAGCCAGGTGAGACTCCAGGTGCCTGTACGGCCAACACACTCCGCTTTTATAGTGCTATCGATATTACTAGACTAATCCG